GTCTAGTTTTTCGCGCACCTACACTCTTTCCTATCTTGAGATTATCTTCGCATTTCCTTAAAACCAGAACATTCCACATCTATCCAGGTATACCTCTACTCCTCCTGCTCCTGCTTTTAATATGTCTCTGACTAGACCTTCATGCCTGAGAAGATATCCTACCAACCTATCTCGCCTATTATTAACTTTTATAGAGTCTTCTGTTCTCCTATTCTTTCTAAAACGTATTCATTTCTAACTTTCTCTATCTACGGTCTCCTCATCATCCGTCTATAATAAATATCCGAAATAAATACTCAGTTCGTAATATGGATCGATTGTCGAAAATATGTTCTATTTCGGAATCTGCTGAAGCTGATTTATACATTTTGCTAACTGAGCATTCCGAAATTGCTCAAATGACGAATATGAATATACTTCGACAAAAAGTGATTATAAAAATTTCTGACTAAAACGGAATACGAGCCCTCGTTTATAAAAATAATGGCTATCGTTATATCTGAAGAAAATGGTTTTTATAAACCAAGCAAAGTTAATGGCGTTTTAGAGAAAATTTACACTAACAATGAGTTTCAGATGAGTAGTATTTTCATTTTTATGTAACGTGCTGGTGTATTTACGCAAAAATCTTTCTTACTTTACCTTAAAATGAATTTATAATTGCGGAAGATATTCCCCTAATGTCATGTTCAATGAGACAGATTTGTTATTAAGGNAAAACAAGTCTCTTACAAAGTAACAAAATGAATAGGATAGGGTAGTGTTAGTAATTGTGGTACAATTGTGTGCAAATTCAGCCTTAGTAGAAACAAACTGTTCAATTTGGAATAATTATTAACGTCTTAAAACAACAATGAATTGTTACAAATGTCACCTTGTCTAACAAGTGCCTTAAAAACAGTTCAAGGATTCAAAGTTTAATTTTTTTATAATATGGCACTTTAACGACAAATTTTACATTTTTTGTTAACCATTCGAGCTCAGTCTCTATTATTCAAACGTTCGACACAGATTGAGCCTAATGAGGTTGACGTTAAGACCAAAGAAACGTCGCTCACAACAAAAATTAATTCCGTTGGTGCGGTAATTAACATTTTATTGTTTCCCAGTGTTCTTATTTCATTAAATTAAATACGACTACGTCCTTCTCAAACCATGTCGTTAAATTTCTTTTCAGTATATTATTATTGAAAAATAGGATAGTTGGCGATATTGTTGATTTAATATTTTTTAATTTTTTTTTTCAGAAAAATTTATTTATAGTTTTCAAATTTTTCTTTACTTCTTTACTTCCCTAAACTCTGACCCTGCAATATTTTTTAGGCTCGGGTATTCTGGCCGTTGTCTTTTGAAAATTATTATCGACGTTTCGCCTGGCATGGCAAGGGTGACGTGGTGGTCGTCTCGCCACCCTTAAAAATGCCAGCCGCAGCAACAGGCGAAACGTCGGGAGTACATTTCCAGAGACAACGGCCAGAAAACCGGTACTCAAAAATATCATTTTATTTAATCCACTATATATAATGAATTTTAAAAATACCACCCCAAAAGGTATAAAAGTTAAAATTTCCACTAATTTAATAAGATTAACAATAACATTCATGCTGTTTTATATAGGTACGTTCATCGACATCATAAGGTCAGTCCTAAATCAGTTGGACACGCACCTACACTCTTTCCTATCTTGAGATTATCTTCGCATTTCCTTAAAACCAGAACATTCCACATCTATCCAGGTATACCTCTACTCCTCCTGCTCCTGCTTTTAATATGTCTCTGACTAGACCTTCATGCCTGAGAAGATATCCTACCAACCTATCTCGCCTATTATTAACTTTTATAGAGTCTTCTGTTCTCCTATTCTTTCTAAAACGTATTCATTTCTAACTTTCTCTATCTACGGTCTCCTCATCATCCGTCTATAATANCTGTAGAGATGGACAAAAAAGAGTATTAGTTACACAATTAATTAAAAAAGGGACTTAAATTAAGTAAAACATGCACAAAATCCCAAGTAAAACACCTAAATTATAAAATGGCGACGAGATGTCAACTATATCCATGTCACAGATAGAAATAATCGTAGATGCACGACGTCAATTTATACAGTGGACAATAGATAACTGTTAGAAGTAAAACCATAGATGTTACAGGTGGCAAATTACTATGAAAACTGAGGAAGGAAAACAATAGCTCACCTTGAGGATCACTATACGGTGCTCGAGTTTTATTCCTAAGTGCTGACAAAAGAGAATTGCCTAGTAATAGTAGACACATCGCACAGCATATATTTTCTGGAAATTGCACCTTCACGTCCAAGGGGAGGAAAAATTAAAGGGGCTCCACTTCTCCAAGTTTTGAATCCTTTTTATTTTCTGTCTCCTTGTTCATTTAATACGTTTAAATACATCCTGTTGAAACAATCTTACGTTACCTTCATTTTAAATATCATGTTTTAAAATATTTAAGAACCATAACTTCCACAATTATTACAATTCACAAGTGTAAAAGTTTATAGTGGTAATTATTGTCAAACAAATGGAGTACTAGATAAAATATTGAAAGATTTCTTACCGTTTCCAAGATCAAGAAAAAGGAGCGTGATTGGGGTTCTGCTTCCTCACGTTTCGTGGCCATTTGATTTACCCTCTCCCTGTACATTTATTATGATTTAATGGAAACCTGTTGAAACAATTTAATATTAGTTATACATCCAGTAGATTTTTTAATGTTATATTATTAATGATAATTACCATTGTTAGCACCCCGTACCCTATGAATTTTTTGACCAGCTCATTAAGGGCATTCTTGGAAATAAAAATGTCTGATGTCTGTCTGATTGCCACAAATCTGTAAGTAGTGTTTGTCCATCGAATCCAAGGATGTAATATCAAAGCAAGTCTATATTACTGAAAAAGAAAGTCGTTAAAACCTAATCTATAGAATAACAAGGTAAAAGTTAAAAAATGTTTAATGGAAATTTGGAATTTTAAAAGCAGAATAATAATAATAGTTAAGAAATATTTTACACATTTTGGCTATAAAATGAAAGCAATCTTCGTGGCGTGGTCACATCGATATGAAAAATCTAGAATCATCGCCTAAACGTGTATTCAAAATTTAAAAATTCTAACAAAACCCTAACTATTCAAACTCCAATAAACTAAGAATTTATAAAATTCACATTAGATAAGTACAGGCAAGATGCCACGACACACTCGATAATAGAGCACGAAACGAACGCGCCACCCAAGTTTTTCATGACAAAATATAATTATAATTAAAATATAATTGAAATCAATCAATCACTAAACCGAAACGCATTCCACACAATAAATCAAATGAAAATCGAATAAGGATTAGGGCTAAATACTTTCAGGCGTCGTTTCCATTTATGGACGGCAAAAATGGTGGTACATCTCCTTCTCGAGGACCGAACACAATTGAATACGATTGAATGACAAGATGAAGCGACAAACGAGCCGGGAGACCTATAGATGAAAATTCTTTCTATACCTATGATAGATACATAATACATTTTATAGGTGCCTTCAGTTATACTAATGCAGTTTAATTAGCAAATTATTAGAAACTGATCCACCTAAATGACATCCTGTTGAAATAATTTAACGTTAGCTTTATATTATGTTTTATTATATTAAGACATCCACCAAGCAAATAATTGACTATGAAACTCAATAGATAGCTACTACAGTTCAGAAGTGTGAAAAATTAGAAAGTGTTAAAATAGTAATTATTATAAAAAAAAAAACAAATGCAATAAAAGATTATGAAAATCACAAATCAATTTATAAATATAATTTGATCAAAGAATTAATGATATCTTATCATTTCCACAAATGGCTTCTTTCCACGCCCAATAGAAGGAAGCGAATGGGGCTCTGCTAATTCACGTTTCCAACCCTTTTTACCTTCTCCATGTACATTTATTGTTTTAATCGAAATTTGTTGGAGCAATTTGATATTATTCACCAGATTTGTCATTATTTTATTGTTAATGATAATTAACTTGAATTGAATCTACTTCAATCTTTTTTATTATTTTCCATTAAAAACATTACATTCTCAAGGATGCCAAGTACGTCACAGATCGACTCGACATGCCAGAGTGTACTTGTTAATAATATTGCATCAATATCAAGCGTAGTGCGATAGATTTCGTAATAGTTAAATTAAGGTTTAAATACGGGTCAGAGTCAGTCTCGACGGGACGTTTTAAGTTATGCCTGAAATACGGGACTTCCCGGTAAATACGGGATGCTTGGTAACACTAGTTACAGTCTGAATCTTTAGAAGAACGAATTTTAGATATCCCCTCCTTAGTATTCTTATCTGCTTTAAAATAATGTTAAACTTTAATGCATCACATCATGCTGATGAAGTGTAATTTGTATCAAAATTTTTATATGACTTTATCTTTAAAATGACGCTAATTTCGTCCTTTAATTGTAATCTACTAATATTGTATAATACCATTAGATTTTTCCCGAGGCTTTTCGCTCGCGTTGATATCCTAAATATGTGACGATGATCGTCGACGACTACATAAGAATAATTTTTTTCTATCCCTCGGGAACAGTATTCTTTCTGGATAAAAGGTACTCTATGTTCTTTTCTGTAGCCCTAACAGTCTGTCTACAAAACTTCATGTTGATCGATTGAGTAGTTAACGCGTGAAATCGACCACAAAAAACTAATTTTTCTATCCCTCGGAAATGGAACTTTTTGGGGATATAAAAAGACCCCAACCTATTAACAATTTCTTTCAATTTCGCAAAAACACATCATTTCCTTGGATTTCACCTTTGATCAACACAGGTGTCGTCTAACGACACCCTGTCGCGCTTATATCAAACAAATTAGAATTGAAACATTCACTAGTAACAAATAAAAACAAAATTACCCCCAAAACAAAACAATTGTCAGTTAAATAAAGAGACTCCATGAGTTGATTAATGGCTTTTACTATTATAAAAGTTCTTTAATTTTTAATGACAAAACTAAATAAAAAGAAGTCAAAGTATAATCGCAGATACAATTGCTTTAATTCTAAATTACTGTTGAAGCATTCGTTTAATCGTCTTAAGCGTCAGATGTTTTCAAATACCTCGTTTTTTTTGTAATTTTGTTTTTAAAAAATCGTACACATTTCTGACGGTGACAATTGTTATTTTATAATAAACAAAACAAAATAATTTACCTTAAAGGGTGCACCACACAATTCCAAGTCTTATATTCGTCATTTCTACGGAAAAATAAATAAACGTTCACAGCAAGCAAAACTACAACACTTGTAATCATATGACACAACATAACATTCTCACATCCTGGTCAAAACGTAGATAAATAATAAAGAAATATTGAGAATAACAGACAAATAAAAAATTATCATTTACATCACCTGGCGAACCTGCGCCGTAGCTAAATGGAATTATTTTAAAAGTTAAAAATATATATAGGGCGTGAATAGAAAATTTTCTGTGCAATTAGGAATTTGCATTTACAACATAAATATTGAAAATTACCACACTGATAAAGAACAAATTTGATAACCTGTCAGTCTAAAATTATTATTTAAACTAGCGACCCGCCCCAGCTTCGCACGGGTGCAATGCTGATACTAAATATATATTTGTTTTGTTTAGATTATTATCGAGGAGGGGAAATTTTCAAAAGATACCCCCTGAACATACTAAATATACTACAGAATGTCTTTATATGCAACATTCACATTTTTTTTGTCATTAGACAATACAAACCGGCCGATACCGCCGCAACCGTCCCTGATCCTCGAAAATATTCATTTAAATTACATACTGTAAAAGGCCATACTAATCTATATTAAATGCACAATGTATTTCAGGTACTTAATTGGATAAGGATTAACGCTGTATTGCTTAATATCGTAAATAAGTCATACAAAGTAAAAGATAAAAAATGGTTATTGTGGGTTATCCCTAAGAGATAGACATATACCATCCAGGACTTTTTTGTAGTTTTTTTTAAGATGTACAATACCGTAGTACATTATTTTGATCTATCTCGTAGAGTTTAGCCAGCGTTTGCAATGTAAGCGCAAAAATGTGCTTATTTACGACATCACATTAGAAACCTCTAAAATTATCAGTGTTTCTCTACTATATTATGCATGTATTATACATATAAACCTTCCTCTTGAATCACTCTATCTATTAAAGGAAACCGCATCAAAATCCGTTGCGTAGTTTTAAAGATTTAAGCATACATAGGGACAGACAGCGGGAAGCAACTTTGTTTTATACTATGTAGTGATTCCTATTCCAACTTTATTGATTGACGGTGCTTAATTAACATCTAACCATTTTAAAAAAATTCTGAGTACTCTAACAGCTAAAAAACAGAGTTTCTAATTTTTTCAACTTGTTAAACAAATCTCAAACCTATATTATCTCCTTTTTTACCGTAATTAGTACTTTATATAAGCGCTTAAATGCACTCCAAACATGTAATGTGCTTCTAATTTTATAAAGGCCAGAACGTATGGGTCTATTCGTATATAGAAATTTTACTATAAATAGGTTATATTAATATTTTTTAATTAATGTACTTGCTTATACAGAAAGACGTGAAGAGAATATAAAAGTTAATCATCATCATCATAAGATCGTCAGTCTGTTTGGACACGTACCTCCACTCTTTCCTATCCCGAGCTAAACTTCGCATTTCCCTAAAACTAGAACATCCAACATCCTTAACTATTTGCGTAATCTAACCTAGGTCTACCTCTACCCCTTCTAACTCCGGCTTCTGCCTCTAATATGTCTCTGACTAGACCTTCATGCCTGAGAAGGTGTCCTACCTACCTATCTCGCCTACTTTTTATGGACTTCCATAGAATTCTCTGTTCTCCTATTCTTTCTAATACCTCTTCATTTATAACCTTTTCTACCAACGCTATCCTCATCGTTCGCCTATAACACCACATTTCTAAGGCTTCTAATCTTTTCATTTCTGCCGCGCCCACTGTCCATGTTTCGCACCCGTAAAACACCTTTAACAACATTTTTCGAATTTCTNCAAAAAGAAATCATGGTTGGGTAGGTACTACTATCTTGATTCTTCGGTAAATTAAACTTTTCTGTTTTAAGTTATTTACTACTTTTAGAGATCATTAAGACCCTAAATTAGATTTATTAGATTTTCTCGAACCTTTCAAACGAACAGCCTGCCAACAGGAAAATACATGTATAACAGTCATCTGATATTCATTGCAGCCTATTTTAATTATTAATATATAACTTAAAATTCTTTTTCGATATTTTTGAAAGATATTTAAGCCTTAAGAGACAATAATCCAAATAAAAAAGTGAATAAAAATGTAAAACAAGTCTGTTACAAAGTAACAAAATGAATAGGATAGGATAGGGTAGTGTTAGTAATTGTGGTACAATTGTGTGCAAATTCAGCCTTAGTAGAAACAAACTGTTCAATTTGGAATAATTATTAACGTCTTAAAACAACANAGAAAAAAAAAATACTCTTCCCGAGAGATAGAAAATTAGTTTAATGTGTGGAAATTTTGTAGACACATTGTTAGGGGTACATAAAAGGACATAAGGTACCCTTTAACCACAAAAAAATTGTGTTACCAGTGAAATAATATTTTACTTGTTAATTTTAACATATTGAAGTGTCCATATGTTTTTCCGTAAAGCGGTGGACCAGATAATATTTTGAATACATTGAACGATTGTTTAAAAGAAATAAATTCAGAATCAGTTACTAAATGCAAAAAATTCCATTAGAACTGCAGCGTTTTCAAATTAATTAATTGTAATAATAATGGTAATAGTATGTTTCGTAGAAATAAAAGGATTTTCAAAATCACTCCAGTTGTTTTGCATAATTGTAAGATATGCATTTGCATAGGTTTAAGAAAATAACAAGATCTACACCTTATTCTTATAACATTAAATAGTATATATTAATTGGTCCAAAAATGATGTTTTAATTTTTAAAATAAACTTTTAATGTATTGTTAAATTATAACAGCGTTGTATTGCCGTTTAAGTAAAGAAAGTGAGTATTCGGAGAGAAAAAATATAAGTAATACGCTCAGCTAAAATCTGTAATGTGATGACGTCCCATTTTGCTTTTTCATTGGACGATCAATAATAAAATATAAAAATTTTATGAAACAATTATTCCAAGTATCATTAAAAAAACTTTCCTTTTTATACATATACGTTGTACTTATAGTTTACAGAATGAGAAAATGGAATTATCAAATATTTGCAATTTTTCTCCTATCAAAAGTTACAAATTTTATGAAATATTCTAAGAAAATTTTTAGCAGTTTTCGGCTTTAATAAAAAAATATTTTTCTTTTGCAAGATTTTACCTGTACAAAAGTGGAAAATACATGTATAACAGTCATCTGATATTCATTGCAGCCTAT